GGGGGTGTGTCCTTATCAAACACATTTCTGTAGCGATGACATGAAACTGGTATTAGAGCCTAAATGGACTGCATGCTAAAGCTTGAGGTTTTTTGCTTTAAATTTTTTTTTTTTTTTTTTTTTGTGACAGTTTATCCCCAACAATGCAGCTCCTGACATCACTAGCACACAAACAGCTCCACTACAGCAAGGTGGCAATTTATGAAGGCTTCTCTGCAGACCAAAGGGAGCCTCATTTCTTAAGCCCTGTGACCTGGATAAGCAGTAGAAAATTGACACAATGTTAATATAATAAGCTTAACATCACAAATTCTAAGCCATTTTCCAACTTCAATACATCAGCATACATTTCCTGTCAGTTTGTTAAACACACCCAGGAGTCTAAATAACTCCACCCTGTTAGGCCTTTTAACTCTTTACTGCCAAACTGAGAACAAAGAACCTCTACTTTAAGAAAACTCCGTTTAACCTTATATCTGATTACCATGCAATATAAATGGATATTTCTTCACCTAACTGTATGGTTGTGCTACACCAATGGTCTGTATTTACTTAAAGTTGATATTTTCTTTGGTTCTTCATGTACTAAATCCTCACCATCACCATATACCTTTTGGAATGGCTTTCTGGATCCCGTGTTTAAATGTGCAAACCACATCAGATGTTCTGTCAGCCAGTGCAACCAACATCAGTGGAGTTTTTGCAATGCTTCGGAGGTTACTCATGTGATGTCATGCACACATTACTCAAGAGATGACATGATACATTGACAGATTGTTAGGAAAAAAATTGTATTCCCTGATTAGTGGAGGTTTCTGGCTATCACTGGATGGACTCGTTTGCAAAGATAATACTGTACCAAAAACCTAGTGAATGCTGTAGTTGATGAAAAATTGCCACAGTTACCTGCAATTTTTCATGTTTTTCTGCATATATCATTAGCCGAGCAATAGTAAACCTTAAAAGTACGACACAAACTCGAAGCAAAGAAGTAAAAGTTGTTTCTGAAGTCTGTGGTCCCCACATGCTTCAAGGGATCTACCATCATCCCTGTCCCCAGAACAACAAGCCCTCATGCCTGAATGACTACCGACCAATTGCGCTGACCTCGGTGGTTATGGTGTTCGAGAGGCTGTTGAAGAAAACCATCTCCTCCTCCATCCCAAACATCACAGATCCACTCCAGTTTGCCTACCGACCCAACAGATCCACGGAGGATGCCATCGCCCACGTCCTGCACACCACCCTTAGCCACGTGGACAAGAAACAGGGTAACTATGTGATAATGTTGTTTGTTGATTACAGCTCAGCGTTCAACACAATAGTGCCCGGTAGACTGTTCACAAAGCTGAGGGATCTAGGACTCAACAGC